TTCTGCGGGAAGGAACATGGAGATATAAATTCTGACACAGTGAATGGGGGGAATATTAAAACAAGCTAGCTGAAGCAATTCAGAAGATTGGTTATTTTATGAACAAGTTTAAAAATAAAGATTAAAAGGTAACACTTTTGATAAGAGAATCCAGATTCAAGAAATTGATCATACCTGAATAAGAATATGGTCTACACAATTTGCAAGAACAGTAGATGCGACAAGTCAGTATAAATCTAATCGACATAAAAAATGTTTTTAGATGCAATTATAACATAATAAGTGTAAATTAGTAGAAGTTGAACAACTAGACAGTAAGTAAACCATGCTGACCAGTATGAAGCTGATTCTTCCGATTTATTGTCAAAAAATCAGTCAGTAAAGCCTCGAAAATTTTAGGAATAGTAGAAAGAATTATAATGGAACGATAATTAGGAATCAATGAGTTAATGGATGAATCAATGGATAAAATCAATAAATAAATTGTGATGAAAAGTGACCCTCAGAGATTTAAAAAAAATAAGCCATAGAGGCCTACATAAAAAGAATGCACAATTATATGCACAAATCAGTTACGATATTCCATCTGGACCAAGACCTTTATTGGTATTAAGACACTGTAAGCATGCTAGAATGTCACAAATTTTAATAGTTAAAGAGTAAATATGGCTGTGACTGATATGGGATCTTTGACTACACTTGTCTACACAGAAGAAAGAAGGATTGTGAATACTGCTAAGAAATTGGCAAAATCGTTGAAACTGTGGCTCACTAAAAACAGAACCATTCAACTTCCCTTATCCATTCCCATTCTGATTTACCTTACAAGTATGTGGTCGGCAATTAAAAGCAGACAAGTCAATTGTTGAGTTTTAAGGTTGAAATCATAGGTATGAAAAAGATCAATACTTAATATGTAACTTTGTTTTATTTCAACAGTAGATAAATTTTTAGGTACCTATTTTTAATAAATAAAACAGTCTCAAAAATTGACTGTTCCTTTCTGTGCACCAACCACACAATTTAATCATTACAAAATTAATCATATTTGCTAATGCAATATGCAAATTAAATTTTATTGGCGTCCTCTTTACATCTCAGATATTTCATTATCAAGTTTCAATTTCCTTCTCCATGGCAACGCTGGTCTTGGAGTTTCTCTAGGCAACATCTGAAAACAAAATTAATGCACTATAATGTAATGTAATAAATTAACCAAATTAATTTCAGATTTAGTTCATTATACTTTGCTTATTGTAAATAAATCATCATTCAAAGGCTTATGATTAAACAACTGAATTTCAAGTGCTGTAGTTTTAATGGATCTCATCTGAACTAGAAGAATACCAACAAAACCATTGGTATTTATTTCTAATAACCAAATGAGCAGTAATTACACTTTGATACTTAAAAACAAAAATAACAGTGTATAAATAAAATATATACAGCCAACAACAAACCTTCATCTCATATAGCTAAGTGTAGTTCTTAAAGCAATCTCATAGCCAGACCTGAACATTTGTGAAATGGTAAAATTTGCCATCTAAATTACATATAAGACACAGTTAACGATATGCTTCATCGGCTGTATATGGTGACTTAAGTGATAGTGTAAGTTTTTAAATGTTCCTTAGATTGATTTATGTTTAACAGTTACAAACCTTTTCAGATCAGAGTAATTGTTCTCTGGGTGAAGCAAGAAGGGTTCTAGTATCTAAACTTAAATGAGAAAGATCAGGAACTTCTTTATGATTTTTTAATAAATCACCTAGTATTAAAGGACAAAGTCCAGTTGTATAACTTATTAGAAAAATTAAAAACATCTCGATAAGGTTCTCCAGAATTCTCGTTACAACCATATTTAGACCCTTCTTCAGTTTCATTGAAAAAAAAAGCTTTGTAAAGTATCATTGGAATGGTCGACCACGTGGTAATTTGGATTATTTTAGTTACTTAACATGTTAATAAAAAGTTTAAATCGGAAGTATTGTAACCATAACTACATATTTGAACTGAAACCAAAGAATATAGACGCTTGTTAGTGATTCCGAAGAGGTTTGAAGAAGACGGAATATGGGGGTTATTAATATTTTCAACAATATTCTCTACGTTTTTCGTAACCTTCCTCTGTTGATGACGCTTAGAAACAAATCGTTTACTTTTAAACAGAAACAATTTTAAGAAAAATTACTTACCTTTTTGTAATAAAATAAAAACCAAATTCGGAAATAACCTAACAAAAATGGTATCAAACCTTTAACAATATACTATCAAAGGAAGCATCAAAAAGACTAATGCACTGTACACTGTTTAAATAGAGTTCTTTTATTTCTTTTATTAAAGCAATAATAATAATAATATTGTGATTAAACTGTGCCATTTGTTTAAATGGGTATGACATGACAATGACAATATTGACAATTAATTAATATCATCAATCATCACATGTCATATCACATCATTATTTTTCATTATTTTGTCTTTGAAAAGACAAAAGAAATAATTATTCTGTGGAAAAGATTATCAAGATTCATCTTGTAGATAAAAATCATATTTTTACTTATTAGAATTATTCTGATAACTAGAATAAGAAAACAATTTTAACGAATTATCTAGAAATAAAAGATTTTTACACTTTACCTAAAAATAAAAACATGTATTGGATATATTAAACTATAAAATTTTTAATTAATTGTGATTTAACCTTTTCGCTTTTAATTATTTTATTAACGTAAATAATTTTTTATTTTATTGAGATATTTGCTATTTGATCCCATAATTGGTAAATGTCGGATGTCCAGAAAACGTCCGAGTTCGGACGTCCAGGGAACGTCCGAGTATGGACGTCCAGGGAACGTCCGAGTACGGACGTCCAGAGAACGTCCATATTTAGTCCACCCAAAGTACGTCCCACTTCGTACGTCCATAGTACGTCCATTTTACGTCCAGGGACGTCCGGACCAAAACTGGACGTATATTGTACGTCCATAGGACGTCGTGTGTTACTAGGGTATAGTTTTTTACTAAACCTAACCTGTTGCAGATTTATGGGAAATTATTAGTAAATTTTAAATATGATTCTAATATCACTTTTATATGACTTTCCTTCAAACAGTTAAAATGCTATTAAAATATAATGAATATTAAGGTAGTTTCCCATATTTTTATGCCTTTGTAAAAAAAATGTAAGTGAATAAATTAGTAAAATTAAACAGGTAATATATTAAAAAAGTTTAGTCAATATTCTATCAATTCTTTAATTTTCTCGTAATTGTAAAATAAACATTTTTTATCACAGTTTTCAATTTAAAAGATTCATGCAAAATTTTCTCTAGTACAGAAAAAGTTCATTATCTGAAATTATTTATTTATATTATTCTATTATGCTGTCTGTATATGAAATTTAATTAGGTATGTATAAATTAAATTCTGACTCTGATTCCAACAGTACATTTATTATTGAGTCCATTTTTAATAAAAAGCACTCGAAAATCACTGAAATTACTATTAATTAATGCAAACAACTACTACCTATCAATCAACAACAAGCACAAAATCAATATGTGTCATAACTGCCAATTTTGAAACGAACCGCGCACGCCTCAAAAAATCCTGAAATAATCAAGACCTTTTGACAAAAACAGAATTGATAGTTTTAAAACTGTCCACAAACAGCATCAGATTTTAACTCGAACACCAAACTTCGATCCTGAACAGTTTTAAGATGATCCGAAATATACCCGAACATTTATATTTCTTCTGCGCAAACTTCTGACGGTTGTCAAACAGTCAATGCAAAAACCCGAAAACACCTGACTAAAGGTCGATTCAGACACATCAGTCACGTCTCGTCACCATCTCGTCACAGTGATTGCGCCGAATCGAACAATCCGTCATACAAAATATTCTTTAATACAAATATGGCGCCGGCATTCACACTCATCAGTTGACGAACAGTTTGCCAGCTGTCAGATAGTTGATAGTTCTGTGACCAAACAGGACCGGTTCGGTACCGTGACTGTGACGTGACTGATGTGTGTGAATCGACCTTAAAGGTTGATTCAGACACATCAGTCACGTCTCGTCACAGTGATTGCGCCGAACCGAACAATCCGTCATACAAAATATTCTTTAATACAAATATGTTGCCGACATTCACACTCATCAGTTGACAAACAGTTTCCCAGCTGTCAGATAGTTGATAGTTCTGTGACCAAACACGACCGGTTTGGCGCCGAGACTATGACGGGACTGATGTGTCTGAATCGACCTTTAGTGTAACTAACACAATGCAATCGACACGTTCGTGAATACGACCAAATGCTCATGAAAAATTATGATAAGTACAAAACAACGAAAAGAAAAAATTGATATATTCATGGTATTTACCACTTACATAAAAAACTTACAGAAAATGCGACTTAAATATAATATTTATTTGAATCAAATATGTTAAGTGGGACATAGCATAAAATTACCGGAATAATTTGCATATTATTTAATATAATTATGATAAGTACCAATTATCACATATGGACCAAAATGTTATTGTTTAGTTTTGTTTTCGGGTACATGATATAATATTTTAACAGGACTATACAAAACAAAATTTGAATAATAAGGACTTATCAATATTATACCAAGCCGTGGCTCATTTTCTAGACATGATAGACATACCATAGTCAGATCAAACGAAAATGGATCAAAAACAAAATGCAGCGCAGGACTTAACAAAATTTTCGCTATTTTGGAGTTACCATGTATCTCCCAAACACCACAGAAGATTATATATATATATATATATATATATATATATATATATATATATACATATATATATACATATATAGCTTATAGTAGTTTTTAGTGATTTATATTTATTTTTAAATAATATGAATAGTTAAGGCATGCTGTGTAAAAACAGCACGATTTCTATGTATACACACCCGTTTTTGTTCCTGTAAATAAATGTTTTATAAAATGTAAAAATTTTCTTTCAGATACCTTGTACTAGAGCACGTGTCTGGTGGCGAACTTTTCGACTACTTGGTTAAAAAGGGGCGATTAACACCTAAAGAAGCGAGACGATTTTTTAGGCAAATAATTTCAGCGCTGGATTTTTGTCACAGTCATTCAATATGGTAAGACTTCAATATATATATATATATATATATATTATATATATATATATATATTTATATATATATATATATATATATATATATATATATATATATATATATATATATATATATATATATATACAGATTAATTGTACAAAAAGAAACCGTAGATTATACACTTTAAAATATTACGATTTAAGCCAAATTGCTTTAATAAAATGTTGATATTTTACACAGAATCAAAGACAACCAGTACCAACCTTATACAAAAGTAATGTTGTTTATGAAATAACGTGTCTAGGATATCAAAATAGCTACATTGGCGAAACATCGCAATGGCTAAAACAACGCATCACACAACATAAAAGTGATTGCCGCTTTTGAAAAAATACTTGTGCAGTAGTTGAGCACTATGAAAACACCGGTCATATGTTAGACTATCACAACGCTCACATTTTGGCACAGGCAGATAACTACAAAAGTAGATTATTTCTTAAGATGTATTACATAAACAAGAATAAAAACACTTTAAATTATAAAACAGACACTGGACAGTTAAGTAAAATATATTGTAATATATTGAACAAAATTTATAAATATTGAAAATAGCTATTTAACCTTAATAACAACCAACCTTAATAATTCATGAAAAAAAATATCATTCTTCTAACGTTTCTTTTATGGTTATTTTTATTTTTACACTTAAAGTCATTTTAATTTTGTAATCATGTTATTGTAACTAACGCGCTTAAGACAATTTAATTATGACATTTATTACATACTTCAATGTCAATTTTTCTTTTTGAAATCTTCTAATTTCTGTAAGTTTTTTAAATGTATTTTTACGCCATTTTTGTAATGTTAAAATTGTGTCACAGTGTACTCCTGATGAAGCTTTCAAATAAATAGCGAAATATTGAGTTCGTTAGCAAAAATAAAAGATTTTTTTAATAGAGACCACTATACCTCATATATATATATATATATATATATATATATATATATATATATATATATATATATATATATATATATATATATATAAACACAAGATAAAACAAAGAATAACTTCCCATAACCATTTCATTTTTATTTTAAAGCACATTGTTAAATGTTTTTATTTATTTTAAATTTGAACATTGCAACAAAAGATAGTTGAGTTTAAATGCATTTTTATGCATTATGCAACATATATTTAAATTTGTACATGGTCAATTATTTAATAACTACATTAACTCAATTATTATTGTACTTTTTTTTAGGTATTAACCGTGGGGTGAATACTGACTGTGTCACTTTCTTAACACTCACATGTTATTGTTTGTTGTTTTGTGTAAAACAGATCACAATAAAATGGATGTTAAACAAAAAAATATATATTTACCTTGCACCACCAACTTTAGTTTTCTTAACACTTTTGTCACTTGAATATTGCCAAGAACGACTAATAGTACCATCTTGAAAAATCCATGTCTCGTCCAAGAAAACAAATGTGTATAGACCTTAATTTTTTAGTTTTACATACTGCTGCAGAAACATATGTCTTTTAAAAACAATATTGGGTAACTCCATTAAACCACGTCGTGGATCATCTTTTTTATAACAAAAACCAATATTGCGTACAATTTTCCATAAAGAAGTAAGACTACCAGTAAAAATATTCCTTGCTACTAATTTCGCTTGTAGTGTTTGTAATTTAACTTGTTCCTCTAAAATGATTATTTGTTTTAAAGATTATTGACATTAAATTTGGCCAAAAACTTACTTTTTTTGTACATGTCATAAATACTATTTCGAATAGTCATTTGATTGAATTCGTCTATATCAACTGGTTTTGTACATCGTCTATTTTGCTTTGGGCTTCTTAATGATTCACCCCTATTGGCTTTTACTACAATTTTATTTACAAGGGACATGCTAATATTTAACGCCGCTGCTACCCTCTAAAAATAAAAACTTTCATATAACCTCACTTTTTAATCAAAATGAAATAGGATTGTTTAAAAATGTAACATTAAATATTGCTCACATTTTATATCACTATTTAAAAAGAAATAGAACAAATAATTACTTACATCCCTAACTGCTTCAAACGGAAGTAATATAGATTGATGATCACATTCTGCCTCAAAGTATGAAATTAAAGAAATGACCATTTTCTGGGCACAACTTCCTAAAGCTTTAGGCATATTTGAAAATTTATAAAATTTTCAAATTTATAAATATTAGTTCTGAAAAGAACTTTTTTAGTTTAATTTATAGCAAAAATTGAAACGAAAAAAATAAATAACCAACACCACCTAACCACAGAATATTGTTTTGACCTAACCTCCACTCTACTTCTGTTCTGTGCCTCCTGTTCACAAATACAATAACA